ATAGTATGGGATCTAGTTGTGCTCCTCTGCTAGCAGATTTATATCTTTATATCATAAGAGGCAGAATCTCTTCAGAAACATAAACGACATAGAAATGCAAAATTATTCAAATCAACGAAAACTACAGAATATAATTCGTCATATAATCCTGATGTTCTTCTTTTACTCTACAGATAACCTTTCAAATGAACTGTATGAGTGGAGAGATTTTGATTTTAACATCATAAATTTTCCTCCTTTATTTTAGTAATATCCATCTTCATAGACGTCATAGACTTAGGTCTGCCAACCTTCTAAGTCATGGAGTTTTGTTTAGGAGAGTGTCCGCATCTCAGCACTCAAGCGTTTTCATAACCGATATCAAGTACAGGTGAAAATACAGGTCAAATCACTGTTTCAACATTTATTCGATGTAGGTCCCTTCATGAATTTGATTGATACATGGTGAATGCTACCAGTAGGGCGAGATATTTTCAATCTTTTGCAAACATCTGATATCACTTCTTGGTCTTAAACCTTAAATGTCCATATACCATTTATTTATTTATTAATTTGAGTGCATGCTTCCAGAATGGTAATTTTACTAACTAATTTTACATTACTGTCAGCGCCACTGTGCACATTGATCTATGTATATGTTTTAATTTACTTTGTTCCATGTATGTTGTTACAGTTGTATGTTTACTGAAACCCCTTGAAGACTATAGACTTAAAATTAATGAATAGGTATGTCAGTAGTGTCAACTTTATGACTGACTTGTGTGAGGAACTTTTCACAAAACATTTAAATAGTCAAGGGCATTCATATATAGCAATATAATCATACAATACAATTTCAGATAACAAAAACACCTCTTATTAGTTCCCATCTATGAAAAATACGATGTCTGTTCGAAACTAAGTGTGGCAAACTCGCCGCCATCGAAACTAGATAGGAATACACAATCAAAAACTCGAACAAACACAAAAGTTTAAAAAAAACATGGTGCAGAACCATTCAGCCTATGACTATCCTCGGATAAGAGATAATTTAACACTTTACACTGCAACTCATTGCAGCTACTAATGTAACTGACCGATTTCTGTAAAACAAGGTGCATCTGTGCACTCGCTTAACCTAAAATAATAAAAAAAATCACACACTAAGCTTTATGGAAGTGTGGTATTAAATTCACCACAGAATGAGGCACAACTGTGCACACTGGTTTTACTGAATATATATCTGTTGTACTAACTACTTAGCTTATGTGAGTATTAAATTAAACAAACCGTTAAATGAGGCACATGTGTGCA